TTTTGTACACATGGGTGTAAAAATTATATAACAGTTCACATAAATAAAGACAGGATTGCTTAAAAAAAAAAAAAAAAAAAAATAGTTAAGAATACTAGGTTAATATATACTAAACAAATAAATAAAGCGAAATAAATAAAAAGAAGATAAATATAATCAATATATTGAATAAAAAGATAAAATTGAATAAAAAATTCTAATATAAAAAAACTAAAAGCAAAAATAAAAAAGAACGAAAATAAAAACACAAATAAAAAAAATAATAAAAATAATAAGAGTAAATTTTATAATGAGATATTATGCACAATTCCTCTTAAATAATCAACAAGAGTATAATCACTACAACTATTAAAAACTGCCTAAATACGTCTTTCATAGTTAACAACATGTCTAGCTTGAGATGGTCAAGGCTCTCCATGTAAAACTCTTTCAATATTTATATCTGTTTGGTGTTGTTCTTTACGCATTTCTTCTATAATTGTATAAACACCAATATGGGCTTTTTCAATAATATTGTTCCATTTATGATGCCAGCCTTTAATAAAGTTTTGAGTTCTAGGATAGCTTTGTGTAATTAACTCGAATACTGACCAAAGTGATAGTGAGAATAGTGGCAGATCATAAATTATATTTCCATTTCTAAGCTGTTGCTGAATTTCTCTATGAATATAAGTATTTTCAAAATAGTTAATTGATAATCCGTTAGTCACCTGGTGAAAATTTTGACGCAAATCATATATATGTAATGCCAAATTGATATTTTTAAGTTATATGTAAAGTCAATATATTTTTTAATTAATACTTGCTTTAAAGTAGTACAAATCGTAGAGTAATACTATACGGTTCTGATGTTAAAAGCATTAAGCACAGAAATTCTTCGTTAAAATTTTACTTTGGACGCACGCAGCATTTACTATATAATATATACTTAGTTATTAACAATCTAAATTTTACCTTTTATTATATATTTATTCTTTTTTAGCTTTTTAACTACAAACTTTTCAGATTTTCTTGTAGATTTATACAATTTTACAAGACTTTAAAAAACTTATACTAAAGAACTCGCATAAATAATTTCCTGTATATATAATATATTAGTTGAATTTTTTTTTTGCTTACATATAAGATCTAAATAGAAACTAAATTTGTAAGATTATTGATTTTTCTGTTCAATCTAGAAACCCAGCCCACCTATTCGCTTATCAGAAACTATGACTTAAATGCCCAACTTGAAGTATATTATATTTAATATTTACAATCACAATAAAACAAGAAAAGTGAAACTTAAATACTACATGGCTTTTGAATTTACAGTATTGCTTTTTGGGGCAAAGTAAGCTAAATTTTGGTTTATTTCTTACAAGTTTATTTCTAGATCTTAAGACCCGATACTAGTGATGTGGTAAAATTATCCCAACAATGATCGTAACTTGCCATAACTATAGCAGATAGTAAGTTATATAAGAAGTTACGGCATTATAGCCGTAACTTAGTATATTTCTTACTATAGTTATAGCAAGTTACGATTATCATTGGGATGATTCTACTGCATCACTAACCGACACCAACGATGAAATTTTACTACCAACAACAGCAAATCCCAAACGGTAAAGTTCCACCAACAGTAATGGTGGCGAGATTTTACTACCAACAATAGACGATACTAACAATGAATTCCACCACCATCAACAACAAAATCCACTGACAACAATAGCGATACAAATAGGCGTTATCAACAACATAACCCACCTAGAATGGCTACATGAACGACACAATTCACTACCTGCGAAAAACTACCAAATTATAGTAAATGCAAACCATTCAAGCAACATCTATATGGAAAAAAAAAAAAGTATATAGAACAGACAAAAAAAAAATATTTAGCGTTAAGTGATCAGTTTAGTGATACTGTTTCAAGTTAATTTTTTTTTTATTTAATAACGCTAATTTAATTCATTTATTTACTAGCACTAGCAATACCGATCCAAGCTATTTATATACTATATTTTAATATAAATCATGTGATCAGATTTATTATATATATATATATATATAGTATATAATAGCTTGGATGTAGCCTATATATCACTGAACTGATCACTTAATGCTAAGTATTTTTTTTTCGTTTATTCTATATACAGATAACAGTTACTAATTTTATTCTTCTTTCCAGATAAGTGTTGTTTGAGTAGTTTGTATTGCTACATACAATTTTGTGTGGCTCTTTACAAATGGTAAATTGTGTTGTTTGCATAGTCTTCCAGATGGTTTGTACCGTTGATACAAGCATCCTTGGATTTTGCTGTTGGTGTTTCCATTGTTGGTGATGAACTTTCACTATTAGTATCATCGTTGCTGGTGAAAATTCATTGTTGTGTCGGCATTGTTTGTGGTAAAATTCGTTGTTGGTGCCGCTCTTGGGATTTTGCCATTAATGTTGCTGTTGCTAGTGGTAAATTTCGTCGTTAATGTTGGGGTTGGAGTTACTGGAGGTGGAATCTTGTTGTTAATGTTGGCAGTGAGATAGCTGTGTTTTGTCATTAGTGTTCTGTTGCAGGTAGTGAAGCATTGCAGGTGGCGGAACTTGTCATTGGTGCTAGTGGTTAATTATAACATAATCTTGTAAATATATACATTAAAAAAATATAACTTTATGCATATCTATATATATCTGATATGTGACAATTCTTTTTGCGTATATTTATTAGTTTGTAAGCTTTATTTCATTTTCTTGTAGATAAATTTTTTAAGATTATACATTATTTTAAATATCATCAGCTCTTATTTCGAAATAACTCACATATGCATATTCGAAATAATGCATAGGTCAATCATTTAACACATTATTTCGCATTTGTATAGTACAGAAGTCACAGTATTGAGTATGATAAAATATTAACCATTTGAATCTATAATACCGAATTTGCTAAAAGTGCAAAGTTTTTTCAATAGGCTTAATCTCTAAGTAATTGGAACTATCATGTAATAAAAATTATGAATTGATTAAATATTACCATGAATTGTCATATACAAGACCCGGATCCCTTACATTTCATAAATTTTAAATCTATGATAAACCCGGGCTAGTATAACGCTAAGAGTTTATGTTACTAAAAGGAAACTTTGAAGAGTATACACATTTTGCATTTATAATAGACGTTTCAGATATTAAAAACCCCAAATTTAACTATATAGATTCTGTGATTCGGCTTCAGGTTTACATAGTAGATCTATTATCATGAGAGTCTTGTATATGCCGATTTATAATATTTAATAGATTGTACGTTTACAAACTAGTGTTTTAATTTATAAGTTATTTAGTTCTTTTGTTTTTTATTCACTTGTACATATAATAGTATATATATTAGTAAAATTTGTACATTTACAAATCGGGATTTTCATTAATTAATTTGCGTTATAGTTATATAGTAATTGTAGATCATTTTATCCAGATGACTGGCGGATTATCAATTAATAATATTACTAGTATTAGGAGGCATCAAGGGTTTTATTTGATCAAAAGCAGCTGGGATTTCAGTAGAAGAAAGAAATGCAAGAGCTGTTAAATAACGTAATTTGATACTAAAAGTTGAATCTGACCCATATTCAATTGAAAACCTTTAGCTTGAATTTGCCTTCAAAGACTTTGACAAAGATAAAAAAAACAACATTTATTGGTTGAATTAGAAAAATTTAAATGAATAGAATTAATAACAAATTGTTCAAAATCTGTTATAATAATTGGTGGGCTTAATTCATATCTAGCTTCATAACCTAAATTAATCAGTTCTTGAAATAATTGTGTATAACTTTCTTCTGTCTTACTAGTCATTAGTATATAAACCATTGGAAAAACATGTGAATTACTTTCTCTACTAACAAGAGTATAGATAGTATACATTTGTCAAAATAATGTTGAAACAGTCTTAAAGGTACTATCATAAGCCAATATCTAGCTTCTTCTAAATAGTGAAGATTGTTTGTTATACAAAATATCATAATTTTTTCATTATTAAATTCAATATCTTTTGCTAAAAATTGCTCTCCTTTTATAGTTATATGTAGCTGTTCTAAAACATTAATATTTTCTAATGACTGAGGTTGTGTAGACATATTTTTAGTTCTAGTATAAGAAATTTGTTTATATATAGCTTTATTACTAGGCATATATGAAAAAGATTCTTCAAACATATTAATAACAATATTTTGAATAATCTGAAATAGTTTTTCATGAGTTTGTACTGCTCTTTCTTTAATATTGTTAAGTGTCTAAATTACCTTTGTATGACTGGCCTCAGGTGCATGGTTATGCTCCTTAAACTTTTTCAAAATATGGTCTTGTCTTTCCAAAACAGTTATTGCTCTTCCTTTGCAATTTCGTAAAACTTTATGTTTACAGCACCAATAGTAAGTTTCATTGATATTCTTTTCTTTTATAAGTAAATATCCACAAGCTACAATTTTGTCTTGACTACGTATAGATTGGACTATTTTACATACTTTACAATTCATTATAAAGGAATTTAAATAACAATAATATAGTTTATTAAAAGAAAATTTATAAAGTTTATAAATTTTTAATAAAAATGTTTTTAAAAAAGAAGCTTTTATCAGCAATTTAATAGATAAATTTTATTAATCTTGAAACAGTCTCTTTTTATCCCTTAAATTGTAACACAGGCAAATTTGCCTGCAAAGATTTTTACTAATTTTTTTAATATTTAAATTTTTTA